AATTAATCATCTAATCACAATTTTTTTTTGTTTTTTATTTCTTTTTAAGGGTTTTATAAATAAATATAAATATTGTTTCTAAATTCTTAATTTAGAGAAAAAAAATAGCAGGTATTTTGGGATGGAAGTAGTATTAAAATGAAAAATGAGATAATTAAATCAAACTACATCTATTTAAAAATGAGACAACTAAATTGGACACGATTTTAATGAAACAATTAAATGAGATAATAGTCGGATTATATTCTTTGATACGGTCAGTTTTTTCTTCACAAATTTAACATTTAACACGATTTTAATTACTCGTAGATTATAATTTCCACTTCTTCTCAACATCACTCCTGCTCTGTTTTCTTTGATTAAAAAATAATGGTTTTAATGAAATTGGACCTTCTTAATTTGCAGGTTGACATTCCTTTCTTGGATGACTTGGATCTGAACTCCATTTGTGTACAGCAAATATGGCACAGCCAAATTACATCAATGTCCTCATTTGTTCAAAACTTGAGGAAATTGATTCTGTTGAACTGTAATAATTTGAAATATCTCTTCACATCATCGATGGTTAAAAGTCTTGGGCAACTTGAAGTACTCAATATTGGGGAATGTAAGGAGATGCAAGTGGTAATACTGATAGAGGAATTGGTAGAAAAAGAAAAGACAAGCCAGACAATGTTTCCCAAGTTAGACAACTTACACCTCAACGACCTTCTGCAACTTATAAGATTTTGCTCCAATTGCAATTCTCTTGGAGAAGTATATGAAGCTCAAGGAATCAATGGTAGTGGATCACAAGTACTTGCAGCCACACAATCAAATTTGGTGGAAACAGAAGTCACTCAACTTGTATTTCCTCAAGTAACAAACTTGGCACTTTGTCATCTACCCAATTTCAAGGGTTTCTTCCCTCAAATCCACATCACAAAATGGCCATTGTTGAAAAGAATGCTTGTGCAACAATGTGACAAGGTGAAGACATTTGCTTCAGAATTTCTAAGCATTGAAATAACATATGGAGACAACCAACTTGAAAGGCAAACTCAAGATCCTATGTTTTGGATTGGCAAGGTACGACACCAAATGGGAAAAAATAATTGCATGTAGCTTATACAAATCATTTTTTTTTAAATTCAAGTAGGAAGTAGGAAAACTAAATCAAAATAAAATCAATCAAGGCTTACTTTATTCTCTTTTGATCTTTTCTAAATTTTGCTTTATTTCTATTTTATCTAAAAATAATGACTTTTCTGTCATTTTTTTATATGTTATGGAAATATTTGGGAACTAAAATTTTTCATATATGAAAAATTAAGTTGCCTGTTATTATTTAGCTTAAATACATATTTATTGGGAATGCAATGCAATGTGGTTTCCATCTATAATTTTGCATTTGTACATTTTAATATAATCTGATATCTTTCTCTTTAATTTTATGAAGCCAATCAAATTATAATATTTGTAAAAAAATTTGATTAGTTCTGTTTCTTTTTTTTTTTTTCTTTTTTTTCTCTTTTTTTTCTCTTTTTGTCTCTAACGGAAGATTCTTGTACATGTATATAGCTATTAGGCAAATGTTGGCTTGGGTTTAAGTTTTGACAAGTGATATATAACTACCTTTCTTGAAGTATGGATTTCATAATTTTTACTTGTTTAGAGCTCATGCTAACCAATTAGACAGACGTTTCAAAGAATAAAGCAAATGCAGCTTGTTAGTAAGCATAGGTTAGTTAACTCACATGTAGATAGGTCTCAATATAGTCAAGACATAATATAAATAGAATATAGATAAATGTAAAACTTTTTTTTTTTTTAAGCATTTTTATCATGGAACCGAATTGAATTATTGTCCTGAGGGGAGGGGGGTAGGTGAACCTTACAAGAGTGGCAGAGGCCACTTGGCCCATAGGGACCAGGTTCAAATGTAAAACATTTTTAGACATGAAAGTATCTCATATTAATATGACAAATCATAGTGCCACTTTAAATAACATGTCTAATCACATGCCAGAGGTAGTCATAATATACCCCCAACTGTGCAATGGTCCAAAAACACACACTCATGAGCTTACAAAAATCTTCGTGACATAGGACATATGGCATGCTTTTGCATTATGTAGCTTAATCACAAAACACGTTATACAAAGGCTTTGTATTGTATATCATACCCATTTTTCTATTTTGTATTTTTTTATTCAATTTATAACACGTATTTTTTAATTTGTCAGGATTCATTCCCCTGTCTAGAACAACTGAAATTCAAACATAATGACAACATGAAGGAGATATGGCGTGGTCAATATCCAGGGGTCTATTTTCCCAAACTAAAAGATATTAAACTCCTCCAATCCCAAAATTGCTCAGCTCTTCTTCCTTATTTTAAATTCTTCTTCCAGACACTACCCAGTCTTGAGAAGCTGGTTGTGAAGGAAGCTTCCTTTCCTGAAATATTCCAATGTGAAAGACTTCATAGTGAGGGAAGACCCATACATGCGGCCTCTCGGTTAAGCGAATTAAAATTATCAAAACTTAATGGGTTAATGCATCTTTGGAAGGAAGAATCTCACCTCAAATCGATTTTCTACAACTTGAGAACTCTAGAGGTGCTTGAGTGTATCAAATTGGTGAATTTAGTGCCATCAGTTGTTTCTTTTGAGAACCTGCAGACTCTAGAAATATCAAAATGTCATGGACTAGAAAATTTAGTGAGTTACTCAACTGCTAAAAGCTTAGAACAGTTGAAAAGAATGAGCATAACTGATTGTGACTTAGTGGAAGAAATTGTCAAATGCATGGAAGATAATGTGAAGGATGGCATTGTCTATAGCCAACTCCAGTCTTTGCAACTTCGCGGTCTTCCCAAACTGTCAAGCTTTTGCACAGGGAAGTGTGACTTGGAGTTCCCATCTTTGAAAGAAGTAATTGTGATAAGATGTCCACAGATGAAATATTTTTCCTTGGGAAAGACAGTAACAAAGGAATTGCAAAATGTTCAATGGAGAGATGGTCGAAAGAAAGGACACTGGGTAAGCGATCTTAACAGCACAATACAAGACTTATACACTCAAAAGGTACACACTAATTCAAAAGATTTCCTTGTGTGTTTCTCAATCATTATATATTCAGCCTTCTTTACTTAATATTACTGGATTTAGTGAAATAGAAGAGCATGTAAATACAATATGATTTAAGAAAACCTTTTAAATAATTTTTTTGTTGGGAACGTATGGGATAGTTTAGAGTGAAGAGTAAAGATTTGTATGGGTCTACTTTCTTCCTTTTGGATGGCTAAGAGACTAGCCATCCTCTCTTGTTTGAACTTTCTCAAAGGCATAGAACAGAGCACTTTCAATAAGGGGGATTAGAAGAAGAGCTTACAAGGTCAATTGAGGGCAGCTTCACTTTTGCTTAGTTTCTGAATGTAATGTACATTAAAAGAACCAAGGGTGGATCATTCATTTTCTATAGTCCTTAATTTAATAATCATAGAGATATTCTATAGGGCCATGGGATGTGACAGATAGGGAAGAACAATAATTTCAAAAACATAAGGAATATTTTTGTATATTTCTCCAATTTGATTTTTGTGATTAATTGGACAGAGTTATTAATGTTTTTTTCTTTCTTTTATTGATATCATTGTTATTGCTATTGGGTTCTGTGTTATATCAAACTAATTAAGCTATTGGCTTTTGTAGTGTGGATACTTTGGATCTGAAAATTTGACGTTCTCTGATGAGTTTTTCGAGTTAATCGAAATTTGGAAAAAGAGTCCTGAACAATTAACGCTACCTTTCAAACAGCTTCAATATCTAGAAGTTAGAAATTGTAGCAGCTTAAGCTACCTTCTAACCCCTTGCATGGCATTGAGCCTTCTGCAACTCAAAGACTTGAAGGTAAAAGACTGTGCAGCAATGGAACAAGTGATCATGGTTACAGGAGTTGAGGAGGTAGACTTAATATTATTCCCACAACTAAAGTCCCTTTCGCTAGAGTCTTGCTCCAAGTTGTCAAATTTCTATGTGGGAAGTAATACCCTCAAGCTTCCAATGTTGGAGAAAATTACTGTAAAGGACTGTCTAAAGATGGCTAGATTTGCTTCCACATTTTCAAGCAAGAAAGAGAAAAAGACAGCTGATGGAAGAAGTGAGGAAACTCTTGTCAAGGATATCTTTATTAAGGCTTTTTTCTCTGATGAGGTGAGTTTTATTTTTATTTTTTATAGAATTTCTTCACAAATTTGACAAGGACAAGATTTCACTGTACTTCTTTCTTAGAGTATAATTTCCACTCTAATTCTTCACTTCGATAACTATGGACATAAAATGTATTTGATGTGTAAGGTCAGAAGCCTTACTGAGTATAACAACCTATGTATTGTCATTTCTCTTCAACCAAACTTTTCTAATTCATCAAAATTTATATTGTATGAAATTCTAGTTCCTGCTTCCATGTCATTCTTACACTTTTCTTTGATTCAAGGATAAAAATTCTAACGAAATTGGAACTTCTTTGTAGGTTGAGATTCCTATCTTAGAGACATTGACTCTGTCCTCAATCAATATAAAGCAAATATGGAACAATCAACTTTCATCATTATCTTCACTTGCTCAACATTTAACAAAGTTGAAGGTGGTCAACTGTTCCAATTTGAAGTGTCTCTTTACATTCTCAATGGTTAAAAGTTTTGTGCAACTTAAAGAACTTGGGATTAGTGAATGTGAGATGATGGAAGTGGTAATTTTGATGGAAGGGACGGTAAAAGAAGAACAGATTTCTCAGACGGTGTTCCCTGAACTAAAGACCTTGACACTTAATGACCTACCCCAACTTGCAACGTTTTGCTCTAATTGTGATTCTCCAGGGAAAATTTCTGATTCTGAAAGAGTCAATATTGGTATTGAATCACAAAAATTGCTAGCCACACAATCGACTTTGGTGGAAACAAAAGCCACTAAAGTTGTATTTTCTCAAGTGACAGACCTGATATTTAGACTCTTACCAAAATTCAAGAGTTTCTTCCCTCAATCACACATCACAGAATGGCCATCATTGAACCGTTTAGTGTTGATTGAATGTCATGGAGCGCAAATAGTTGCTTCAGAATTTTTAGGCATTGAGATGACAGATGGAGACAACCACCTTGAAAGAGAATCTCAACCTCTCTTGTTTTGGATTAGCAAGGTACGTACAATCAAGTCCAAAAGAAAAAAAATGCGCATATCTTATATAAATACATGCTGTTCAGTTTTGTTCTTACACTAAATGAAGGAAAGAAAATAGGAAAAGTAATATATGAAGACAAAATAAAAAAAATTTTCTACTTGTTTTTCTTGTGCACTAATTTAATTTTATTTTGAAGATAAAGAAGTAAATTCACCAAAACTTGTTAAAAAATCATCTCTACCTTGTTTTGAATTTCTACGAGCAGAGATTCATCACCCTGATTTAAAAAATGTCTTTGCTCTTATATTTTCTACCATCCAACTTAAATCTCAAGGATGCTAGCTAAAATTTTGTTATCCTAATCCTACATGGGGAGTTGGCTCCATGTAAATTTAGCTTTTGGCCATCATGATAAATAAAAAATTATTTTTTTTTGAAATTTTTTTTTTAATAATTTTAATACCTAGGTCTTTCTTCTAGCTTAGTGAATAACAGTTTGCAAATTGAGAAAATTTACTACAAAATTATTCTGCAAGTTAATCAATATGATTATAGAATTAAAGATTTTTACATAGCGATCACCTAAATAATAATTTATTATTTCTTGAAATTGGAGTGATAGAAAAATTGAAGAATTGCAAAAACAAAACAATAATAAAGAAAGAAAAAATAGATGTGTTTATGTGAGATTAAGTGATTTTTCAATGGCAGAAAAATGTGAAAATCGATTTTTATGGTTGGAAATAAGGGTAAAAGAATTATTTTTTTTCAAAATCAAGATTTATTGTGTAACTTTGAAATGACAAATTTATCAAAGAATAATAGATTTATTTGAAGTTTGGATTGTCTTCTTAACTCGTGTCAATTTCTCAGGCTACATTTCCTAGTCTAAAACGGCTGGTTGTGAAATGGAATGACAATATAAAGATACAGTGTGGACATCACCCAGAGGGGTATTTTGGTAAACTAAAGGTTCTGCACCTCCTTGGCTTTCCTAAGCAATCGGCTTTTCTTCTGCCTTTCTTCTTCCACTCCCTACCCAATCTCAAAAAGCTTCTAGTGAAGGATGCTTTCTTCGATGAAATATTCCAATGTGAAGAAGTTACTGGAGAGGAAAAACCTGTGTGTGACCGCACTCCATTAAGAAAATTAAGATTGTCCAAACTTCATGAGCTAACACATCTTTGGAAGGAAGAATCCCAACTTGAAGTAGACATTCTCAGAAACCTAGAAATTCTGAAAGTGCAGGAATGTAGCAGTTTGAAGAATTTAGTCCCCTCCACTGTATATTTCGACAATTTGGAGACTCTAGTGCTATCCGAGTGTCATGGACTTGTCAATTTAGTGAGATACTCAACAGCAAAAAGCTTGGGGCGGCTCTATACGATGAAAGTAGCCAATTGTGAGATGATAGAAGAAATTGTCGTATGTTCGGGTGATGCTGTGAAGGATGGCATTGTTTTCACCAATTTGAATTGTTTGCAACTTAAAGGTCTACCCAGACTAGAAAGCTTCTGCTCGGGGGATTGCGACTTTAAATTCCCAGCTTTGAGAAAGGTAATTATTACAGAGTGTCCAAATATGCAGATTTTCTCTA